ACTCATCAATCTATCGTGTTTTGTTTAGCCACAGTTGGTCATCCTGCCTCAAGTGGAGGAGTTTAAGTATCTGGGGATCTTGTTGAACGCCTTGGAGTTCCCCCAGAGGAGCTGGAAGAAGTGGCTGGGGAGAGGGAGGTCTGGGCCTCCCTTCTGAAGCTGCTGCCCCCGCGACCCGACCCCGGATAGGTGGAAGAAAATGGATGGATGGATGGATGGATGGATGGATGGATGGATGGATGGATGGATGGATGGATAGTTGGGTCATGAAGGTAACAGGTGTCCAGTTTGTTCTGGGTCTGTCCCAGTTGAGAGCTTTGTCTTCCAACTCAGCTTCTTCGACGTAAGAACTCAGAGCACCACCTTTCTTACAGCAAACACAGCTCAGATCTGTTGATCCATCTCTCACTCCATCCTACCATCATCATGAAGAACTCCCAGATGCTTATGCTGGTTTTCTTGAGACAGCCTTATACTTGTTTCAGGTTCAGATCCATGGTTTCAGATTCCTAGAGTCAGCCCTTTCAAGACTAAACAAGATGACTCTCATCCTTGCCACTTCACGCCACTTTCATGCTGAAAATCCTGGCTTGATGACACCAACAGATCTAAAGCATCTCCAAAAAGCAGAAGAGAGAGCTCGAGTTTCCCGAACAAGACGCACTCCTCTCTGCAAGTGCATCTTGAGATGCTGTCCATGAACACCACAAACAGGACTTGAGGTGACAAAGATCTTGTTTTGGATTTAGAAGGACTGCACTGGCCTTAAAAATCAAGCTGGTGACCCATAGTGCTTGAAGGGGCATGGGGGGGTCTGTGGTTGGACAGCCATCTTGGGACCAGAAAGTCACAGGATGGACTCTGCCATATTCATGTCGTGGTGTCCTTGAGTAAGACGCCTAACCCCCAACTGCTCCCCGGCTGCTTGAATAGCTGCCTACTGCTCCACTTGGGTGTTTCTCATGTGTGATGGTCAAATGATCTTATCATTGTATGGGAACATGCATCGATGACTAAATAAAGTACATTTACAGACTCCCCCTTCTATAAGCCTTCTACAAAACCACACACTTGCAGACTGGACCGTCTGTCTGGACCACTGTTGAGACTTACAGAATACAGTAAAGAAGTAGAATTGTTTTGAATGTTTCAGCAAATCTAAAGCTTGGATTTCCAATCATAAAATTTTTCCAGGTTTGTGTTTAGTTTTGTTCTTTGTCTGTCCGTAGGATCTAGCTCAAGGTTTAACAGAGCTGCTGGGCCACGAGGGGAACGTGGAGGAGGACTTCTACCTCACCTTTCAGGTAACAAAAAAGTCTTCATTTCAAGCTTTTTAACAAAACAGTTTTCAAGACTAATATTTTTTCACTGCAGACAATTTAACACTCATACCTGGAGTAAGAGGAAGCTAAAGGTTTTACAATTGTGACAAAGCTGAGAAAAAAAAACAGTTCTGCAAAATTTCTCAGCATTTAACCAGTTCTGCTTTTTGCATCAGTAAAATGATACATTTTTATAAATGTCGTGGCAAAGATAGTCAGAAACACGGCGAAAAGGGTGTTTAAAAGACAAGTCTTGCGGGTATGGTTATAAAG